TGCCGTCGGCCCCCGAGACCCTCGGCCCGGGATGGTGTCGGCCCATGAGACCCTCGGCCCGGGGTGCCGTCGGCCCCCGAGACCCTCGGCCCGGGATGGTGTCGGCCCCCGAGACCCTCGGCCCGGGATGGTGTCGGCCCGTGAGACCCTCGGCTCGGAAGGCTGTGGGCCCCGGAGAGTCCCACTCGGCTGTTCTCTGTCTGCTTCTTAACGCCTTCAGCGCCGCCTGGGTGGGGTCTCTACGGCCCAGCTGGTCTCGGTAAGTAAGTTCCCGTGAAGTTCATCTCTGGGAAAGACCTCACAGCCATAAAATGCCACCAGGTAACTGAGGGAACGTGGGGCCAAACAGGGCTGACACCCAGTCGGCGGCATCTTAAACCTGGATCTGGTCAAACTCGGATTCCACAGCGACTCCACACAACGCAGCGCCAGCCTCGCACTAGCAGAGTGGGCAGGGAGCCAACGCGTCCCCGCACAACGCGCCCACACAGCAGGCGGGGATCATCTGGTGTTAGTTGTTTGGTGGTGGGGAAGGGAATCGACTCCAGAAAAGAAAGAGTCCGTTCTAAGAAATCTAAGAACAACGCTCCACTGGTGAGCATGCTTTCCGTTGCTCAATGTGGAGACTTGACCCGTCCCTCCATGTTTCCAGAGCTGAAGGTCAACCTGTTTACAGTGTGTGTCCTTCTGCCCGAGTGACATTTTTTTCCTTAGAGCACGTGATCAGTGAGATAAAGTATCAAAAGGTGAGGCCATGCCAAAACGCCTTTTTAAAAAGCCCTGGGCCAGACACAGTGGCTCGCACCTGTAATCCCAGCATTTTGGGAGGCTGAGGTGGGTGGATCACTTGAGGTCTGGAATTCAAGACCTGCCTGGCCAACGTGGTGAAACCCTGTCTCCACTAAAAATACAAAAATTAGCCAGGCAAAGTGGCACGTGGTGGTAATCCCAGCTACTCAGGAGGCTGAGCCAGGACAATTGCTTGAACCGGGGAGGCAGAGGTTACAGTGAGCCA